ACACGCTATAATTCACAGCGATTCACACACTTTACTTATGGCGCCTGCTGCTCGCTTGACTCAATTATTTGTCTTCAGTCTATCTCCGGCTTATATACTAAAAAAGAGGGCGTCTAGCAAACGCTGGGACATTTGTGATGTTCCCGATAAGTCACGATCCTTCTAGAAACTCCAGCGCGCATGCTCCCAGAGTCGCGCGACTTCCGCTGTCGTAACAATATCATAGAGAACAAGTGCCAGAAAGCTGTGTAAAGATAACTGAAAGAGGTTTTTGTAAATGTTTTCGTTTATTGTTATTTATTAATACAAGTGAAATTACTTATAAATAATTTTGCTATTTGTTTTATAATTTCATCTAGAACGAAATATAATTGACAAACTCAAGTTTATGATAAAGGTACGTATTTGTGAGATAGGCTAGTAATTCTTTCGTTTCTGCCTTTACTATCGTCTGTGTGCCTCACATTGAACCTTTTGAACAAAACAGACAAACAGCAGATAGTAGGTTTATTATTTATTAAAAAAACATGGTTGCTACACTGTTGCTAAGAGCTTCTAACTCGTATAGGGCAGTTTTCCTTTAAAGATAGCAGAGTCTATAAAAAAGTCGGCAAACATATTGTTATGAGTATTCAGATGCTACTATCTGCTTGTTTGTTAATTCCCCTAGAAATTCTTTTCGAGAAACTTCAGCGATACAAGTCCTTTCTTAATTAAAACTAGTTTATTCTTTCTCGATACAACTTTGCAATACACAGAATTTCCACAGTCACTTTAAACTTGACTACTTTTATGAACACACGCTATAAATCACAGTGATTCACACACTTTACTTACGCTTGACTCGATTATCTCTATCGTCAATCTCTCTATCTTATCTCATTCCGTTTTATTTGCCGGGCTTATATACTTAAAAAAGAGGGCGCCTGGAACAGACTAGAGTTGCCAGGAAAATTAAAGATCCTTCGAGAATCTCATGAAGTGTTACCAGGGTCACGTGACTTCCGCTGTCGCAACACAGCCCCTTCCTTCGTCCCGAACAATAGCCACTTACATTAAACCAATAGATAATCAACAATAACTTAATTAAATGTACAGAATTTACAAACACAAAATTAAAATTCAACCAAGTCTTTTAATTTTACGGGACATATCTTCTTCCAAACTGGTCTCCATCTCATTGGCTTCTGCTTCATCAGGAAATGTCCTGTCATCGGTAACAGTCACATCAGTGGTAGTAACTTCATCAAGGGCTTCACTGTTTACCTTCTCAAAACTGAGTAGAGTTTCTTCTTTGACAGTGGCTTCTTCAGGTGGCACGTCTTCAGCAGTGTCATTTGTTCTGTTGTTTGCTTCATTCCAACTGAAATGTCCTGGACCGTGATAACGCCAAAGCCTTTTGGCTTACCTCGCCGACCACATTTTATCCGGAAAGTCACGTCTGAGAGACGATCCACTATGTCATATGGGCCTTCCCATGGAGAAGACAACTTATGAGACTTCCCTTTGGTCTTCCTGGGATTATACAACCACACCTTGTCTCCTGGTACAAAGCTGACTTCAGTAGATCTCTTATCATAAGTTAACTTCATCGAATCAGCAGACGTTTTCAAGTTTGAACGCACTTGATGGTGAATATCATCCATCCTTTCCCGATAACACTTTCACAAACTCTGACACATTCTCAGGCAACTCTTCATAAAGTGGGCGTCCTGTTAACAGATCCACTGGCAACCGAAGTTCTCTGCCTAACATCAACTTTGCTGGAGTGTATCCAGTGGCTTCATGCTCTGCTGTCATATAGGTCATCAACAGTGGAGGGAGTAAGACATCACAGTCATCTTGGCGGCTATTACAAAACTTTGCCAATTCCTGTCCCAGTGTCCAGTTGTACTTTTCTACCATCCCATCAGACTGTGGGTGAAGTGGCGTTGTCCTGGTCTTTCGGATGCCAAACAACTTGCAGCATTCTTCGAACACAGCTGATTCGAAGTTATGGCCTTGATCTGAATGCCGTTCATATGGCATACCAAATCTGAAGAAGAAATCACCAATAGCCGAAGCAACAGTTGTCGCTTCCTGATTTGGTATTGCATATGCCTCAGGCCACTTGGTGAAATAATCCATCACCACACAAATCTACTT